GCACCTTCCCACAGCAAGCAAACATCAAAAGAGTTGGGGAGGGGCTCCTCATGGGTCTGGTGCCAGGGCCAGAGGTCTGGGGGTGCGCCCATAGGGTGTGGAGGTCAGCATGGGGGCAGAGAAAGGTCCAGGGAGTTGGGAGATGGTTTGGGGGTGGGGATGGAGTCAGGAGAGGGAGGCCAGGGAAACAGAGTGAAAGCAGGCTAGAATGTCAGGTACAGGGAAATTTCTGGACAGGGCCCCATAGCCCTTGGTCCTAGTGGAGAGTGGGTTCACCACGTTAAAGCTGGTCCGCTATGCCCTCTGGTGGCGGAACATGGAAGCACATCACAGCACAGCCAGGGTCCAGGTCTGTGCCACCTCTCATTGCTACCGCTTCCAGGGCCAGTCTGTTGAAGTCACTGTGGATGACCCTTCGTCCCTGTGTCCACTGAGGCTGCCCCCTCCCTCCCCGGGCCTGTGGACAGTGTCCCAAGGTGCTCACCATCAAGCACACCCGGGGGATCTGTGATAGTTAAGGTTTAATTGAAGGGCAGAGATAGCTCGATAACCCTCACCTTTCTTATTCTCGGATGGTCGGACCAGTGTGCATCTGCCTTAGCTAGCTCTCTGCCTCAGCTGGGAGACATCCCTGAGAAGCCACAGACTTACCCCGATGCAGCCCTGGGTGCTGGAGCAGCCATGTGGAGACCATGCCAGTGCTGGGATGCTCACACCCGCACTGATCCTGCTTTCCTCCTGCAGTCGGCGTCACTGCGTGTGAGTTTGAGGACTCTGTAGATGGGTCGGACATATGGGCTAATGTTGGACTTATGGGGTTAGACTGGGTTGGGATGCTTTCTGAATGTATTTACCCTTTATAGAAAACTCTCTTATAAAATATGTCTATGAATTTTGTTTCTCTAGCCTACCCAGACTAACTCAGGGCCCTAGTCGACCAAATCTCCGTTTCCATCTCCACCCCACCTGTCTGCAGAGAAGCCAAGCACTCACTCGAGTCAGCCGCGTCTGGATGCAGCCCCATCCCCGCCACACTGCGCCCCTGGGATCTTCCTGGCTCAGCTCAAGGGCCTCCTGCCCTCCAAATGGGCAGGACTCTGGAGGCTGCCCCTCTCCCACCCAAGTCTACTCTGCCAGCCCATCCTGCTGGTATTATTGCTGAATGCTCCACTGCCCACACTCACACCCTCCATGGCTGAGTTCCTGTTGGCTCAGGGGCTCTGGTGACACCTCTGAATGGCCCCCTCTTCCTGTCCTTGACCTCCCTGCTGGCTCTGGCTGGCAGGCCTCTCCCCTACCCTTCCCACAGCTGGCTGTTCACTCTGTCTGGCCCTGGTCCCCAAGCACCAGGTGACCAGCTGAACCCCGTCGCAGTGGAGCAACTGGCATGCAGGGGGTGCTACAGTGACCAGCACTGAGGGAGAGTGGGCAGTCGCTTCTAGAATGATCCCAGGAAGGTCGTTGGTGTTCTTTAGTTTGTATACAGCTGGTGGGTGGTGGGGGAGGGGCGGTGTAGTGAAGGTGGGGGCCCAGGACACCCCCTGGGCTGTGTGCACTTCTGTACCTATCCCCAACCCAGGGGCTGTGGTCAGTTTAATGCGGAAGAAAAACCTGATGAATTGGACACAACCAACCGGCGAGGCTGCAGTGACTCAGAACAACTTTCTGAAAACCAGAATTGGGGGGGGGGGGGGGGGGCGGTGGCGCGGGGAGTGGAGAAG